CCCCGCGCCCCCCCCCTCCCGCCTCCCCTGGCGGAGGGAGCCCTCCCCCCCCCACCCCGACACCAGCCGCCCTGGGGAATGAACACCGGTGAGGCCGGGCTGCGGTTTCACTCCACACACCCCCACACACCCGCACCCCCGGACCCCCCACGCCTTGTCTTCCTCCTCCCGCCCTCCATGGCTCCCCTCACCCTTCGCCCCCGACGCCGGCCGGGACAGCAACCCTCACAGCCATGCCAGCCTTCACGTGGGAAATCGGTATTCCTGGTGAAATCACTCGTCTCCGAAATCCACAGCGAAGCCTGTTTGTCCTGACGAGCCTGTGACACCAGTGCCTTTCTTCATGACGTCATGACTCCACGTATAGCCAGGCTGGGATGTCACAAGCAGAGACACCGAGCAGAAGCGAGAAGAGCAACGACGCAACAAGATTTGGGATTTTTAGGAAAATCTCATCAATGACACTAAATAATGCTTCCTCCCCCCAAAACCAGCAAATAACCCCCTCCCTCCTTCATTTCGTAATTATGTTTTTACCGTGACAAGACAAAAACCCCGCTGCCCGTCCTGCAAGGGCTTGTTGTGGGGAAGAGCTGGTGGAAACCCTCATGGCAGTGGGATCGGCCAGGTGGCTCGCGGCGCCTCATGGTGTTTTTTTTGTAAAGACCACCTTAAAACCAATCTCAGGAAACAAAGCACCGTCCCAGCGCCTCACTGGAGCCCTTGCCGGCCATGCTGGTGAGGGGGTGTCCAGCCCAGGGCCAGCAGGAGCAGCACCATGACTGGTGGTCCCGCCGAGCTGCTGGCTGCCTTGTCCAAGCAAGCCCCTCCTGGAGCCTCTCATCTGCCCAAGCCGCACCTATATACATACATATATATGTGTGTGTATAAAATTCTCTGTGTACTCGGAAGAGGCACCGTTTAAGCCAAGGAGCGTCGACTGCCCGGTGTGAATCCCTGGGAGGGGAATGGAGTCAGCAATCTGCGTGGCTTCCCCGAGGTGGCAGAAGCACGTCAAAGTTGGTGGTGAAGGGATGCCGAAGAGGAGACCGGAGGGAAGAGGCTGAATTAAGGCAAAGATGGACCTGGGAGCGGTTGCAAAAGGACAGGATGGGGCAGGCCCGGGCAGTGTGGCCGGGGGGGGGGATTGCTGCAGCGGAGCCGTAATGGGAACGCCTTCTTCCCCCACTAAAAATTGCATCCTTTCCTGGGAAGGGCCAAATTCCATTGTGGGCAACGTTGATTTTTAATGCAAATCCCTCTCCTCCCTGTGACGGACTCATTCTGCCTTTCAAAGGACACAGTCCAGACTTTTCACCGGCTCCAGCACCAGATGAGATGGCTCTAAACCCAGTGGAAATTTGCTGATCCCCCCCGCAGCTCCCTCCCTTTAGAGACTGGTTTTGCACCCCATGCCCTGGGGAAGGTTTGGCCATCGTGTCCTGCTCGTGGCCAGCTGACAGCATGAATTTCCACCCTCTGTGACAAGAAATATCCCCTCCCTCCCCCAAAAATGTTGATTTCACAGGAGTTTCTTCCATTCACCATGTTATATCCCTTAATATCAGCTTGGGACGGAGTTTAAATGGTAAGCCCAACCTCAGACAGCTGATATTTATTATTTTTTTTAATGAGGTTAAAAACAAAACAAACACTGTTACAAGCACCAGCCCCCAGCTCTGTGCCTGGGAGCCTGGACCGCGGGGGGGTCAGCTGATGATGCTCACCTGCAGTGTTTATCTTTCACTCCAATGACATGACGTTCCCAAAAGCACAGAAAGAATGAAGAAACGATTTCAAATCGCTCTTTTCAGCCTTTCCCTTTCAATTCCTCTTGTTTCAAGTCCTCCTGAGACCCAGCGCCCTCATCACATGAGTGATGTGATGCCTCCTGCCCCTCTGGCTGTGGCAGCCAGTGCCCACTGGGGCAAGCGTGGCGCTGGCTGCTGTGCCAGCAGAGGTGTCGGGACGTGTTCTACGCCTGCCACACTGGTTTAGTCCACTGCTTTTTCAGCATTTCTGGTAAGCACGGTGACACTGGAGCTGATTTTTCATAGCTGGTGGTTTATCAGCAGAGAAAGAGCAGGCTGGGGCGCCCAGCGTTACCCCCCAGCCCTCGGCATTGTCTGCCACTCCTTGAGCCTTGCCACAACCACTGTCCCTCGCTGCCGAACCCAAGACCATGATGGAGATCACCCTATTTCATCTCTGATGTCTTCTTGGTGGAGACAGATGACTCCTTGACTCAAGGGGAACGTTTACATCCTTTGGCTTCCTGGGCTTCACATTAAATGCCTTTTTTTCCCCCTGAAGTGATGCCTGGTATGAACCGGTCGCATGGCATTTGTAGGGACGCTGGCACAGGTGCGTGTGAAGATAAGCGGGCGCTGAACCCGAGCTCTCAGATGTCTGATGAGGTGCTACCTTCCCCGTGCTGCTCTTTCCCGTGTCACTGAGGGATGTGCTCTGTGGCCACCAGGCAACAGCGTTAGAGGAAGCATTTTCTCTCTGGCCCCAGTACACATTAAGAAGTGGACAAGCCAAGCAACGTCCTGCCTCCCAGCCCGTTCTCCATTGCAAATTCTCCTCCTGCACATCCGAGGTGCCGACAGTGCTTCTGGAGCGCTCCCTAAATCAGAGGCTGGCTGCGACGCTGTCACCCCCTCTGCAGCTCCCAGGGGAAGACGGGCTGAGGGCAGCAAGGCTGGCTGGGCACCGCGTCCCCGGGGCGGATCCTGCCATGTCTCTCCTACCAGACCTTCCCGTGCCCACCAGTTTGCTTACAAGTGGTACCCCAGTAGGAGAAACCCCCTTGTTGAAATCCTCCTCCTGCGTCCTGTCATAACCCAGAAACCCTTGGCCGCGCTCCCGGGGGCCTCAGCGCAGCTGCAGCTGCCGACAGCTGGCACCCAGCACCCAGCACCCAGCACCCAGCACCCAGCTCAAACGGCTGATGCTGTTATTCCGTCCTGGTTTTCGGAAGCGAATGCAAACTGTTTTCTTTTCCTTTCTTCTTTCTGTGCCAGTCTGAGACATCTTTCATCACGCTGTGCCCAGCCAGCACAGGTTGTGAAGCAGAACTATTGTCACACTTTATATCAAGAGTATGTTTATAAAGGATTAATAAATTATTAATGTTTTCATGAAGAGGTTAATCCAGAGTCCTAGCATCCTGCAGGTCACCGGAGCACACTTACCACAGCATATATGGGCTCCTGCGATCCCCTCTCTGTTGTTTGCACACTTGCTCGTGTATTAACATCTAATAATCACCTATTAACCCCCTGCAAAGCGACTGTCGATGCACCAGTGTGACCGACCCTTCACACGCTGCAGCAAAGGTTGTGCTCAAACTGTGCTTTGCAGAAGCCCTGCGATGCTCCTCTCCTGCCGAACGGTGAGCACAAGACCTGCCCTGATACCAAATCTCCTGCCCAGTGTTGCCAGAGCAAGAAAACCCCTTTACACTGAGGTTACGGTTCTCCTCGAATCTTAAAACAAATGAAAGGTGCTTAAAAACTGAGAACTTTTCCTGTCTGTGCACATGTGTGCATGTGTAGATATTTCACAACGCAGCGTGAGTGTTCGGTAGGTTGTTTCGGGGTGCGGGTTTTAGGGTTTTAGGGGTTTGTTGGTTTGGTTGTTGGTTTTTTTTTGCACCCAGTGTTTTCAATTTGTGACTAGCTGTACGATGCTCCCGACAGGAAGGTGAAGCAAACACGGCGCTGGCTGGCAGGGAGGCTGGTTGGTGTCCTGCATGGAAGGCGGGGAGGAGCCTTGCTTTCTTTTCTTTACTTGCTTAAGGGGAAACTACAGCACGGACTCAGGGACAAAAAAATAATATGCTGGGGTCTTTAAAAATGTGGGGTTTTTTCCGGACTTCTCTGTTCAGATGTGGGGTTTGTTTCTGTCTGTGAGGCCTTTGGTGGCACAATCCTGAAGGATGCTGCAGGGATGTGGCCAAAGCCTTCAGCCGCACGCGTTGGTGAGAGGCTGCACAGGCTGTTGCACGTTGGAAGAGCTGCAGGGTTTGATGCTCCAACATAACACCTGCATGGAAAAGGAGCTGTGGCCACTTGCGGTGAAACCGTCGCTGAGCAGCTGTGTTTGCCCATGTCCTGAAAATTCACCTTACAGCTGCTAGAATGTGGCTGGTCCCTCCTTGGGCTTGTTTGTGAACAACCAGGTACGGATTTTAAGCCATGAGCCCCCGAGGATTTGGGAAGTGAAGCGGAGCTGTGCTTTCTGCATCAGCCGCAGTTGGCCTGGCTCCCACCGCGTCCCTGGGATCAGAAGGCAGGCGGGATGGGGGAAGCTGTCAGAGCAATCGTGTAGAGAAATGCAGGTGACAGGCAGATTTGTGGGAGGAAATTTTTGTATTTCTTGCAATGAAAGCATTTAAAAAAAAAAAAATTCCCTGGTAGAGAGACCTGGGCAAATCTCTGTTCAGTAAATGGCAGCTTTGCTTGGGCAGCATGGCAGTGCCGCCGCCGGGGCTGCCGGGGCTCGGGTGGGTGAGCTGGCTCTGGCCCCGGCAGCACTGCCTGGAGCCTATGAAGGCAGGAGACCCATGTGGTGGAAAGATCCTTTCCACCACTCAAAGTCCCTGTGGGGTAGGGAATGTTCTCCGAGCAAGGCACAAGAGATGTGCATCTCAGTTGCCTTCTTCGGGTAAGGGACAGGGCAGCCCGGCTCCGTAGCACTGTGATGGATGAACCCCCGCAAAGCGAGCAGTGAGGCTATCCCCCAGCCATCAGGACAGGACCATCCAGGACAGCCATCAGGAGAGACAGCCGTCCTGAGAAGTGCCACCTCTCGAGATGAAAACCAGATCATGCCAGGACACGTCTAAACCCACGTAGCTCCATGCAACCCACCTTCCAGGGCAGTTCCCCGCGTGGCACTGCTTGCCACAAAGGCAGGCTGGCAGCCACGGCACACGCAGGACACCTCACTGGCTGCCACATTAGCCACACCAAATTTTGGCTCTCGCCTGCACTGCCAGGCAGGGGGGAGCTGCCAGGGGAGGTGGGGCAAAAGTCCTTGTCACCCAATGTTCTGAAACAGGCGTCCACAAATGCACTTTCCAAAAAAACTCTGCTGTAAAAGCTCAATCTGGAAGGAAAAGGATTCTTTCCATGGGAGTCAGTGTTTCTTTTTCATCGTGGATAACAAACACATGGCTCATCCCAAAGGTCACCACTGTGGGAATCTTCACTCTTGTTTTAGGCATGTTTCTAATCAATAGATAATCTTACATTTACATCTTAGTGATACCTTTTCTTCTTCCATCCAGCTCCACTGGGGTGAAAAAAAAAACAACACAAGATGTCTTGTCCTACCAGTCAGAAGAAA